AAGGTGAGTGAGTTTACAGAAAAACTACCAAGCTCCAGGGTCTATAGAGATGACAGAAAACAAAAAGGACACCATCACCCAAAGACAGAGGAAAAAAGCATTTAGAAATAATTTTCAAAACAAAAGACTTTGGTTTGAAGATTGTATGTTCCACCTCTAAAAAAAAAATGGACACAGGGGAGTGTATAGCTCAGGAGTAAAGCACGTGCTTAACATGCATAAGGTCCCGGGTTCAATCCCCAGTGCCTCTGTTAAATAAATAAATAAATAAATAAATAAATAAATAAATAAATAAATAAATAAAAACCTAATTACCTCCCCTCGCCAAAAACAAACAAACTTACAAAAAAAGAATTTAAAAAAAGGGGAGAATACAGCTCAGCGGTAGAGCACATGCCTAGCATGGGTGAGGTCCTGGGTTCAATCCCCAGTACCTCCATTAAATAAACAAACAAACAAACAAACAAAATTATCCCCCCAATTTTTTTAAAAAGACAAACTGAACCAAAAATTTGTACATAAAATACAAATGGCCAATCAAATGTTTGCCCCACAGAAAACAAAAGGAATTCAAATCCTAGCACTGAGACACCATCAATTAAAGTGGGAACTTTTTAAAATAATAGATAAGGGGGGCTGGTTGTTGTAGGAACTGAACACTCACGAGCGTGTAAATTGAACCACCTTTTGAGAGACAGTTTGGTCTGGGGAGTGTAAGGGCCTTAACGCTACTGATATTCTTAACTCCACAATTTTGTTTCTAGATATTTATTAAGAAAAATGCATAAATAGTACAAAGTAATATGTTTAAAAATATGTGTGTTTTACAAAAGTAAAATAAAAAGAGGCAACATAAAAGCTGAAGAGGGGAATGATTAAATATATGATAGCACCTCCATCCACTGGAATATTCTTTGCAACCACTAAATATGATGTAGGAAAGCTGAAGATTTAATGACTTTAAAAATGTTAACTGTGAAAAGCAGCATAAAAATAAACAGTATACTGTATATAGAGTAATTCCCATATTATAGAAAAATATATGCATACAGGGACACTACAATGAAGTGATTAAAAGCTCGGACTCCAGGATCAGAGCATTTGGGTCTCCCATCTGAAACTGCCCTTTACAGGCTGTGTGACCTTGGGCAAATCACTTAACTGCCCTGTGCTTTGTTTGACTCATTTGTTATAGAAATAATATTGGTACCTACTCACTGATGCTGGGAGGATGGAATGAGTTAATAACTGGAACATAGTAAGTTATATGTGTTAGTGATTATCATCATTGTTCACATATAGAAAAATGACTGAAAGGATACACAATCGAATGATTGTTTCTGGTGGTGGTATTATAGGTTTATTATTTCTTTTCGTACCTCAATTTTCTAAATTTTCTTTCATGTACCTATAAGATTTTTAATAAGAAATATATATATATATATCTTTATTAAAATAAAAGAAATCTGGGGTAGAATTCTTAGGGAAAAAGACAAGGAATAAAAGTCCAGACCAAGATAAAAGGTGCTGATGATTTACTAAGAAATAGGTCAGGGAAGTGGGAGAAACACTGAGTATGAAAAGCCAGGATTGGGAAAATCAGAGTATTCTGACTGTGAATGGTTAATTTGCCAACTTAGCTAGGCCGTGGAGCCCAGTGGTTTGTTCAAACATCAGTTTGGATGTTGCTGTAAAGGCATTTTTTTAGATGTGATTGACATTTAAATCAGTTTATTCTGAGTAAAGCAGATTATTTGCCATAATGTGGGTGGGTGGGCCTCATCTAATCAGTTGAAGGCCATAAGAGGAAAAGACTGAGGTCCCAGAGAAAGGGAATTCTCCCACCAGACTCCCTTTGGCCTCAAGACTACAATAGCATCTCTTGTCTGACTTTCCAGCCTGCTGGCCTGCCCTGTGAATTTCAGACTTGCCAGTCTCCACAACTGTGTGAGCCATTTCTTTAAACTAAACTCTCTCCGTTGGTTCTGTTTCAACGGAGAACCCTGACTAATACACAGACCATGTGAAGAAGGCATGAGCCTGCTTCCAACACAGCACTCCATCTCCACAGCCTCCCCGGGAGTGCTGAGCTAGCCTGTAATCATCAGCCTATATCCTCTTTACCACCTGTAGGGACAGTTATTATTATGCTCAAAAGAAAAACACAGGATGGTTAGTGCCAGAAGTATGTAACAGCACGGCCTTTCTCACATAAGAAAGAAAAGAAAAACACACCCCTTCATGTGGAGCAGATTGGGCCCTTCCCCAGATAGGACACCTCCCACCTTGCAGGCTCTGTGATGGGTCTTACACACGTAGCAGCAGCTGAATCAAAGAGATCCAAGCCAAGAAGAAGCTGCATTTTAGGAGGAGTGCTCGCAAAACATGAGGCACATCCAGAGAGAGACAAGCCCTGGGCAGGACGCAGGCTGCACACCTAGTGCTCCAGGTCTGGGCACCGGATCTAGAAGGCAGCAGCCGGCGGTGGGGGCGGGGGGGCCCCCCACTGCACAGGACTCCAGACTTAGCAAGGGCTGCTTTTAACTTAGATCTTAGGCATGGACAGCAAAAAGTTTCCGAAATGATGGAACCCACATTACTGTGTGAAAGATTTGAACTTTGATAAAAATATTAAGGAAAATTGCATTCATAACAAATGACAAAGCAATTTACGGAGTGCTCCTGAGGTTAAGTGGAACCCCTCCTCGCTGAGGAATGGACAAACCACCCAGGCGTGGTCCTCTCTGGGTTTCCTTCTCGTGCAGTCCTGGTTCTGTGTCCCTGAACCTCTTCTCCAGCAACATCCCTCCGAATTTTCACGTCCTCATTCCACAAGATTTTATAGAAATTGCAGAGAATTTTTTGGCTTTCCATTTGCTGTTGCTTGAAGTTCAGACCTTTCAGCAACTGTAATTCCAACTACTCCTGGTTGTATTTGGTAGTGAATAGAGAGATCCATGTTGGAACTTCAGGAGCTGTATCTTCTACAGATGAGCATACACACACATGCCATCATTACTCAACTGCGTTAAAGTCTAGAAATTATTACAGACCTCTTTCACACCACAGGGGCTTTTGGTTTTTCGTTTAATCACACCGAGCCCTCT